ACTCTCAGTTAGTAGCAGTACTCTCAGTTAGTAGCAGTACTCTCAGTTAGTAGCAGTACTCGCAGTTAGTTAGGAGTTAGTAGCAGTACTCTCAGTTAGTAGCAGTACTCTCAGTTAGTAGCAGTACTCTCAGTTAGTAGCAGTACTCTCAGTTAGTAGCAGTACTCTCAGTTAGTAGCAGTACTCTCAGTTAGTAGCAGTACTCTCAGTTAGTAGCAGTTAGTAGCAGTACTCTCAGTTAGTAGCAGTACTCTCAGTTAGTAGCAGTACTCTCAGTTAGTAGCAGTACTCTCAGTTAGTAGCAGTACTCTCAGTTAGTAGCAGTACTCTCAGTTAGTAGCAGTACTCTCAGTTAGTTAGCAGTTAGTAGCAGTACTCTCAGTTAGTTAGCAGTTAGTAGCAGTACTCTCAGTTAGTAGCAGTACTCTCAGTTAGTAGCAGTACTCTCAGTTAGTAGCAGTACTCTCAGTTAGTTAGCAGTTAGTAGCAGTACTCTCAGTTAGTAGCAGTACTCTCAGTTGTAGCAGTACTCGCAGTTAGTTAGCAGTTAGTAGCAGTACTCTCAGTTAGTTAGCAGTTAGTAGCAGTACTCTCAGTTAGTAGCAGTACTCTCAGTTAGTAGCAGTACTCTCAGTTAGTAGCAGTACTCTCAGTTAGTTAGCAGTTAGTAGCAGTACTCTCAGTTAGTAGCAGTACTCTCAGTTAGTAGCAGTACTCTCAGTTAGTTAGCAGTTAGTAGCAGTACTCTCAGTTAGTTAGCAGTTAGTAGCAGTACTTGCAGTTAGTTAGCAGTTAGTAGCAGTACTCGCAGTTAGTAGCAGTTAGTAGCAGTACTCGCAGTTAGTTAGCAGTTAGTAGCAGTACTCTCAGTTAGTAGCAGTACTCGCAGTTAGGTAGCAGTTAGTAGCAGTACTCTCAGTTAGTAGCAGTACTCTCAGTTAGTAGCAGTACTCTCAGTTAGTAGCAGTACTCGCAGTTAGTAGCAGTACTCGCAGTTAGTAGCAGTACTCTCAGTTAGTTAGGAGTTAGTAGCAGTACTCTCAGTTAGTTAGCAGTTAGTAGCAGTACTCTCAGTTAGTAGCAGTACTCTCAGTTAGTAGCAGTACTCTCAGTTAGTAGCAGTACTCTCAGTTAGTAGCAGTACTCGCAGTTAGTAGCAGTACTCGCAGTTAGTTAGGAGTTAGTAGCAGTACTCTCAGTTAGTAGCAGTACTCGCAGTTAGTAGCAGTACTCGCAGTTAGTAGCAATACTCGCAGTTAGTAGCAGTACTCTCAGTTAGTTAGCAGTTAGTAGCAGTACTCTCAGTTAGTTGCAGTACTCGCAGTTAGTAGCAGTACTCTCAGTTAGTAGCAGTACTCTCAGTTAGTAGCAGTACTCGCAGTTAGTTAGCAGTTAGTAGCAGTACTCTGTTAGTAGCAGTACTCGCAGTTAGTTAGGAGTTAGTAGCAGTACTCGCAGTTAGTTAGGAGTTAGTAGCAGTACTCTCAGTTAGTAGCAGTACTCTCAGTTAGTAGCAGTACTCTCAGTTAGTAAGCAGTTAGTAGCAGTACTCTCAGTTAGTAGCAGTACTCTCAGTTAGTAGCAGTACTCTCAGTTAGTAAGCAGTTAGTAGCAGTACTCTCAGTTAGTAGCAGTACTCTCAGTTAGTAGCAGTACTCTCAGTTAGTAGCAGTACTCTCAGTTAGTAGCAGTACTCTCAGTTAGTAGCAGTTAGTAGCAGTACTCTCAGTTAGTAGCAGTACTCTCAGTTAGTAGCAGTACTCTCAGTTAGTAGCAGTACTCTCAGTTAGTAGCAGTACTCTCAGTTAGTAGCAGTTAGTAGCAGTACTCTCAGTTAGTAGCAGTACTCTCAGTTAGTAGCAGTACTCTCAGTTAGTAGCAGTACTCTCAGTTAGTAGCAGTACTCTCAGTTAGTAGCAGTTAGTAGCAGTACTCTCAGTTAGTAGCAGTACTCTCAGTTAGTAGCAGTACTCTCAGTTAGTAGCAGTACTCTCAGTTAGTAGCAGTACTCTCAGTTAGTAGCAGTTAGTAGCAGTACTCTCAGTTAGTAGCAGTACTCTCAGTTAGTAGCAGTACTCTCAGTTAGTAGCAGTACTCTCAGTTAGTAGCAGTACTCTCAGTTAGTAGCAGTACTCTCAGTTAGTAGCAGTACTCTCAGTTAGTAGCAGTACTCTCAGTTAGTAGCAGTTAGTAGCAGTACTCTCAGTTAGTAGCAGTACTCTCAGTTAGTAGCAGTACTCTCAGTTAGTAGCAGTACTCTCAGTTAGTAGCAGTACTCTCAGTTAGTAGCAGTTAGTAGCAGTACTCTCAGTTAGTAGCAGTACTCTCAGTTAGTAGCAGTTAGTAGCAGTACTCTCAGTTAGTAGCAGTTAGTAGCAGTACTCTCAGTTAGTAGCAGTACTCTCAGTTAGTAGCAGTACTCTCAGTTAGTAGCAGTTAGTAGCAGTACTCTCAGTTAGTAGCAGTACTCTCAGTTAGTAGCAGTACTCTCAGTTAGTAGCAGTACTCTCAGTTAGTAGCAGTTAGTAGCAGTACTCTCAGTTAGTAGCAGTACTCTCAGTTAGTAGCAGTACTCTCAGTTAGTAGCAGTACTCTCAGTTAGTAGCAGTACTCTCAGTTAGTAGCAGTACTGGTGAATGTTCGTGCATCAGCTTGTGGAAAAGGAACGTCAGACTGTAGCTCTGCTCTCAGATTTCGGCCTCCCTCCTCGTTGGGTCTCTGTTTGAGGAACTAACCTCTGACTTTCTCAGCTCAGTGACAACAGACTCGGCCTGTGTCGGCACTGAATTCATGTTAATCAGAACAGAATTGAACAGCTTTTCTCTCCCACATATGTTCTCTGACCTCCTCACTCTGCCTCTCGTTTACTCCTCAGACCTTCTGCTCGTTTCCTCCCGTCCAGACTGAAACGCTGACGTCTGAAAACGCCGCTGAGCCTGTTCCGGGGCGGCGTGTTAAGCTTGATTTATACTCCTGCGTCGGGTCTACGCACGTAGCCATGTATTTATACTTGTGCGTCGGTGTGTCTGTCATTCTGCAGTTACACCCCCGAACGCTAGTTGGCAGCAGCGCTACAGCGTCCACTGTGATGACTTTAGCCGGCCGAGCAGGCTAACTTCCGGTTTAGCGCTCCGCTAACGTGATTGGAGGTAAAGTGGTTTACGTGCGGCTGGTGCAGCGTTTTCGAATGTTACCGACAGAATGGATCAATAACTTCTTCTGATGGTGAAACGAGTCATTTCGCTCGGGTTGTGACGGTCAAATATATCGATCCACCGTGTTACAGCCGCCGTTTTGGCCGCCAGTTACTTCAAAAAAAAAGTTACTTCAAAGCACGGGCACTTCCTGTCGGCTCGGAGGCGTTGCGAGGCTACTCAGCCGACCAATCACAGAGCTTACGGTCCGCGTCGACTCGACGTGTAGCTACATTTGTGAGGAGGTGCACGTCAGGCGACGGCGTAGGGTAGGGCGTTACTAGAAGTATAAATTACACTTGAAAACGATGACGCTCCCGTTTGGCTTCCTGATTGGCTCTGATCAGTCAGTCAAAGCAGAAACACGATGCTGCTGACAGAGTTTTATTAAAATAAGTTGTCCTGCGCATGTCTCCGTATTTGCGGCGACTCCCAGCCTGTTTCCCGCCGCCACCGTCTCTTCCTCCCGTGTTCCTCTCAGTAACAGTTCCACCTCGCAGAGACATCTCTGCTGTGGTTCTGCACCGTCGCTGCTCTTCGTTCGTCTCTAGTAGAACTTTCTTCTGCAGCTGCAGAGTAGACAGTCTGCTTCCTGTTTACACCGCTCACACATGGTCAGTGTGCGTGAACGTCGTTTTAATACAGGTAGAGGTCAGTTCTGAGCCGCAGCTGAAACGCTGGACATCGCTTTGCTTTAAAACACACTGGTGGCGTGGATGGAGCCTCAGACCCTTCCTGTCCAGGGGCCTCATTGGTGGTGGTTGAGGTGAGTCCCCCCCCCACTTCACTGTGAAGCTCTGTATAAATGGAATGCGTTATTATTTCTAAACGGTGCGTACGAACAACACAGAAGGATGACGAGGCCTGCTGCTGTGGAACATTTCCAGGCTCAAAGCCTTTCTGAAGCCTGACTGATTGTCCCTGAAGTGGCAATAAAAAACAGAATTTAAGATCATTTGCGGCCACAAAGAGATCCAGGATCAGAAACACAAACAGATTCTGTTTCTGCAAAAGAGCCTCAAACATGTTTAATCAGGAATCAGATTGATTAAACCTGCATGCAGCAGTTTGTTCTCCTCAATCAGGTGAACAGGAGCGAGTCAGTCGAGCAGAGCACAGTTTCATGTGTTGTTCGTTTCCTTATGGAGCCAAACGCTAAGCGCCGGCGTGTGGATGTGACGGGCGGCAACAAAACACTATTTTATGTAATTTCCAACACGCCGTGTTTCTTTTCCTCGTTCAGCGAGCCGACTAAATGTTTAAACTCAGAGGAAGTCGTTCGGTTTCCTCTCTTTTCAAACATCCCGTCTGTGTGGCCCCCTCCAGCCAGCGACGTCACTACTCAGAGGGAGGCCCCTTCCTGCAGGTTGGTTATAAAGGGGCGGGGCTCCAGCGTTGGTAAAAGTGTGTTTTTACCCACCAAAAGGAACGCCAGCGTCCCTCAGTTAGATTCAGAGTCTGCCTCCTTTTCGTCCTGCAGTCAGGACGCGTTAATATTAACGAGCTTCACTGAGCGTTTACATGGAGCGCCCTCACAGGGGCCACATTTCTCACACACTGATTATAAAGGGGACTTACTCACAGATGCGTACTCTCGCTTTGATAAGTCTGAATGTTTTTGCTTTTTGGGTGCACGGACACTTACAGTGAGGATCCTACGCAGAGTTTTATAAATAAGCCCTGATCAGCTGCTCCTGTTTATTATCTCTGCTGCAGACGCTCTGAGGAGCTTCAGCTTGTGTTTCTCATCAAGTCTGCTGATAAAGTTTGTTTTGAATTAATCAGAGTCTCTCTCTCTCTCTTCAGTCTGGATCTGCAGACTCTCCAGTGGAGAAATACTTCAGTCCGTCGATGCTGCAGGACCCCTGGGCAGCTCTGCAGCCCGCCACAGGCCGCCAGACCAGCAGCCTGACGGGGAACGGCAGATAGCAGCAGCAGCAGCAGCAGCAACAACAACCAGACGTCCTGACAGGCAACAACAACAACAACCAGACGTCCTGACAGGCAACAACAACAACAACCAGACGTCCTGACAGGCAACAACAACAACAACCAGACGTCCTGACAGGAAACAACAACAACAACCAGACGTCCTGACAGGCAACAACAACCAGACGTCCTGACAGGCAACAACAACAACAACCAGACGTCCTGACAGGCAACAACAACAACCAGACGTCCTGACAGGCAACAACAACAACAACCAGACGTCCTGACAGGCAACAACAACAACAACCAGACGTCCTGACAGGCAACAACAACCAGACGTCCTGACAGGCAACAACAACAACAACCAGACGTCCTGACAGGCAACAACAACAACAACAACCAGACGTCCTGACAGGCAACAACAACAACCACCAGACGTCCTGACAGGCAACAACAACAACCACCAGACGTCCTGACAGACAACAACAACAACCAGACGTCCTGGCAGGCAACAACAACAACAACCAGATGTCCTGACAGGCAACAACAACAACAACAACAACCAGACGTCCTGACAGGCAACAACAACAACAACCAGACGTCCTGACAGGCAACAACAACAACAACCAGACGTCCTGACAGGCAACAACAACAACAACCAGACGTCCTGACAGGCAACAACAACAACCAGACGTCCTGACAGGCAACAACAACAACCACCAGACGTCCTGACAGACAACAACAACAACCAGACGTCCTGGCAGGCAACAACAACAACAACCAGACGTCCTGACAGGCAACAACAACAACAACAACCAGACGTCCTGACAGGCAACAACAACAACCACCAGACGTCCTGGCAGGAAACGACAACAACAACAACAACCACCAGACGTCCTGGCAGGAAACGACAACAACAACAACAACCACCAGACGTCCTGGCAGGAAACGACAACAACAACAACAACAACCACCAGACGTCCTGACAGGCAACAACAACAACAACCAGACGTCCTGACAGGCAACAACAACAACAACCAGACGTCCTGACAGGCAACAACAACAACAACAACCAGACGTCCTGACAGGCAACAACAACAACAACCAGACGTCCTGACAGGCAACAACAACAACCACCAGACGTCCTGGCAGGCAACAACAACAACAACCACCAGACGTCCTGGCAGGCAACAACAACAACAACAACCAGACGTCCTGGCAGGCAACAACAACAACAACCACCAGACGTCCTGGCAGGCAACAACAACAACAACAACCAGACGTCCTGGCAGGCAACAACAACAACAACCAGACGTCCTGACAGGCAACAACAACAACAACAACCAGACGTCCTGACAGGCAACAACAACAACAACAACCAGACGTCCTGACAGGCAACAACAACAACAACAACACCAACCACCACCAGACGTCCTGGCAGGAAACAACAACAACAACCACCAGACGTCCTGGCAGGAAACAACAACAATGGACATCAGCAGCGGACACCCTTCTGAGCGCGCTCAGTCACCAGCAGCCTGTGTTTGTCGGCAGCTTCCTGGTCGGGCTGATTTCAGGGATCGATCTCTTTGATTGACGAACTGATGGTGTTTTTTTACTCCGTGTTTTCTAACAGTTTTTAAACGTGTGTTTTATTCGAATGTTTGTAAAAGAAAAGTTCAGCAGTTTTATTTTTGAAAATTAAAAAGTGGGAAACTTTGGTTCTAATCTGAAGTCTTTCTTCTTTAACCTCGTCTGCTTTAATTTGAAAGGAACAGGAAGAGCTCGCTTATCAATGAGCTGTTTCCATGGCAACAGTCAGGAAACCAGGAGACAGAAACAACCGTAAGATAATTGGCCTGCACTACGAAGGGAGCTCAACCTCCTCAGAGTTAACTCGGGGTTATCAGGCAAACTCTGACCGCTACACTGGAGGTAAACGGTACTACCAAGGTGGATCAGATGTTGGTTAGTTGCGAGTTCGCATAAAAGCGACATGTTCCGCCGTGCAGGCAGAGTTTTTTGCAACGGCGCATGCTCCGTATTTCTCCAGAGGAACGCACGTTGGAAGTGTCAGGAAATTATGAATTAGTTAACGGCTAAATCTAATATCGTGGCGGCCGACAAAGCCAGGGAGGCTTGTTGGCATCGCATGGCGTAAATTAGCCTAATTATCTTCAGTGTTCTTATTGTAGCTCAGATCTCTCTTCTGTATTTTATGGGCTCTTCTTTTATGTGTAATATGATGAAGCTGCACATAAGGTCTGTTGTAACAAAGGAAGGAGCCAGCGGAGAGGAGGAATAATCTGAGATTATTCCAAGATCTACAAGTAAAAACTTGAATATTCTCTGACATTATAGTCCCACATTTATGAGAGAAACTTCACTTTGCAAGGCTGCAACATCACTCACACGTCTGCCGTGTATTATGCATGCACTGGAAAGTTAGATTAAACTTTGCAATCTGATTCAGCAGTGAGGAAACGCTCCTGAGTTTAGCCCACAGTCACCATCATGATCGGGCGTATTCAGAAGAAAACAGTGATTTTTGATTTTTTATGAGGGAATTTCCGATTTTCTTCTTAGAAATTTCACACTTTCATCTAGGATTTTTTAAATCTAAATATTTGAAACCTCTCAGGAGAATTCAATTATAGCCTGCAGACGGGCTCCATCTAAGAAACTGTCCCGTTAATAAAGATTCATCTCTAAAATCCCAGCTGGGCTGCAGGGCTCGCTGTCTGAACGTGATGCTGTTGTGTTCAGAACTTCGCTGCAGCCTCAGTGGAACAAATCAGGATGAAAACTGAACAGATTTTGAAGTAGTGTGTAATAATGCTTATTAATACAGATGAGGTGTGTAGTCCGCGCATCCAGGGTAACCTCGAGTTAACCACGAACAAAACCTGCTCGGAGCAGTTTAGAGATGCAGCGTAAATTGCCATAGCAACAGACCCCAGGTAACACCCGTCCACCTTTCGTAGTACTGGTTAATCGGGAAGTTATACCCGACGTCACAAAGTTACTCCTGAAGTTACCTGGATAAGCCGGTTACCTCGCTTCGTAGTACAGGCCAAATAACTCGAACTTTCTAAACACGTTAAACACTGCGAGGCTACTGTGATTGGGTCGGCCAGCTGTCTGGGCGGGGCCTCCAGGTGTGGGGCGGGGCCCTTCAGAAGGCCTTAATGGGGAACAATGATGGGGTTATTGTTATTTATTTATTAACTGTGTTTATCTGAATTTATCTGAATCTTCAGACGAGGAACATGACAACATTCAGACTACAGGGTTCCAGGAAATACACTTTTTGTTACCTGATGTCACCACTAGATGTCAGTGTGACTCCTCCCTGCAGGAGTAAACGGCTGCTAGTAATACTACAATAATACTGCTGTAATACTGTAGTATTGTGGAAGTATCAGACTCCAGCATGGGTCTGAGCGGCGTTCCTCGTCTGACAGCAGGCCTGCGGCGAGGAGCCGAGTCAGGCAGCCTGAAACACGGCCTGCGTTTCACTAGAGGGATGAAAACAATGAGATCTGATTCAAACTGAGGAAACAATGAATCCTGGGAAGATCCTGGAAGGTTGAATAACTGTGAAACGAATGTTGGCCGGTGCCGGTCCAGAGGAAATCACTTCGGAAAATCAGTTCAGCTGTGCTAAAGTGACTCCTCTCTGATAATGAACATGTGACTGGTTGGTGGGTGACGAACATTTAAAAGTAGAACTCTGCTGGCTTTCTAGTTCATGCTGTTTTACCTGGTTCTATTATTAAAGAGGAAGCTGATCATTTCAGCTCTGGAGGTCTTGGAGAGGACCTTCCTGAATCAGCTGGAACAGGACGTGTGGATTTTGCTTCACCATGAGTTCACCATGCCTCCAAAGCCTTTGATGACTATTTTAAAGTTACAAAACAGAGGAGTTCCCAAAGCTTTAGTGAGAATTCAGTTATTGTGAAGTGTGTGAGTTTCTTTTTAATGTCTGGACGATTTATCAAAGCTGTGGAACAGCTGTGGCGGCGGCTGAACAGTCACTGAGGGTTCGCTCTCAGCACGGCTCAGACGTGACATTTAAATACAGCGCAGAGAGGAGTAATATTCCCATTGTTAGGAGTAGAGAGGCTGTCCTTACGGTCTGTGGTGAGGCTGGATCTCTCTGATGACAGGGACCTTCACAGACAGTGTCGTATGATGTATGCACAGGCTCACGTGTTGAAGCCTTTTAGAGCATTACCCCCACGTCAGCTGGCCGTTTGTGGAGCTGCTACAGAAAGAGCAGCATGCAGAAGCTCAGTGGAGGATACTGATGTATGTGAGGTCATCAGACTCTGCGCTGACCAACCGGCACTAAGGTCTTTTCCAGAATGTGGAATCACTGGCGTTTCAGCCGTTATGTAAACAGGCCTGTTGTTTTATTCTGAGTCTTCTGGAGCGTCCTTAATAAAGCTCGATGAGACAGAGTGGTTAGTTTCAGGAACATGTTGAACTGGGTGAGCTGCAGCCTGCAGGTGGCTCTGAGGGGCCCTCCAAGTCAGATTCAGCCTGGCCCTCACACACACTCAGTCATCCATTTTCATTCTGACACGTTGTCACTCGTTACATGTGATATAACATGTGGATAATCAGAAGGAGAAGCTCGAGCTGGGTCAAGTTCAGGTAACGATGAACATGGAAGGTGGAGATGAGACGCAGGTACCGCAGCAGTGCTGGACCAGGACCTGTCACCTGGAGTGGACAGACTCACCAGGACCTGTCACCTGGAGGGGACGGACTCACCAGGACCCGTCACCTGGAGGGGACGGACTCACCAGGACCTGTCACCTGGAGTGGACAGACTCACCAGGACCTGTCACCTGGAGGGGACGGGCCCGCCAGGACCTGTCACCTGGAGTGGACGGACTCACCAGGACCTGTCACCTGGAGTGGACGGACTCGCCAGGACCTGTCACCTGGAGTGGACGGGCCCACCAGGACCTGTCACCTGGAGTGGACGGACTCGCCAGGACCT